CATCGTTGCAGATGCTGCTTGTTGTCCGAGGGAAACACCTTGCTGCTGTCACACCCCTCTGCAGTCAGTCGGCAATATGACTTCGCCCTCAGACCTTGGGTAGCTGCTTTTAGTCTCATCGTTCTCCAATCGACCTGCCAGGCATGGTAGAACCTTGAGGAACATATGTTCCAGCCAGTATAGCTCGGTTGGGTCATCACGATAGGCAAGCCCGACCACCACGTCAAGGTAGCAGCTACGGTCGGGTAATAATAATAATAATAAGTGTTACTCATCTGGAAGATTTGTGGAAAAATTTTCTAAATTTGAAGAATATTCTGGTCAACTGTAAAACTATCTTCAGTTGGTTCATCACACAATCATAATATGTGAGATAAGAAGCAGAGACTTTTACTGAATAAAATTGTTACTACACTAGTTTTGTATTGTATTCAAAATAAATTTTTTTAATTATTAATCCAAAAATTTCTAAAACTGTAACTATGTAACAATATTGAATATTGAAAGGGAAAAAATGAACAGATTTTTTTTTTAGAAAAGTCTCTATAGTAACACTGAAAAGCTATATACAATAGAACATGATTGAAACAAAGTTATCGTTAGAAACACAATATATAATTCACAATGAAATCATTGAAAGAATCAAAAAAATTTCGAAACTACAATAGGCAACATGCAAATATAAAAATCTTATCATTTATTGCCTAAAGCTTAGTGAGATGTAGCCACAATTAAAAAATACAGCCCTATTTAGAACACGCATGATTTATTTTTTGTGTGTGACAATACTTATGCATCTAAAAACTGATGGTATTGTTTTAAAACAATCTAGTTTGTGAAATATTAAATAACTTATCATTAAGAAGCTGATTCTTATGTGATAAACTGACCAATGAAGTAGAACTATATGTTTGCACACTGAATATACACGATCTGAATGATTTGACTGGAATAAATATCATTTTATAATGTTCTAGTGACACATGATAAAACTATCTGACGGTGATTCTCAAAACTGGAATAAAAACAGGGTGAACAGTATAATTACTTACATAATTAATTAGTTAATTAAGAACCAATTTACACTTGCAACTTGAAGGTTTGGAGATGATACCTCAAGTCAAAAGTAATAATATATGCAACTAGTTAATTGTCATGTAACTCGTTTGCAGACAACTGCGACAAAAGTACAACATTTAAGTATGCACAACAGGAACTGAAAGTCCTAGGTTCGATACTGATCGAGATCGTTGTTATTCACAGCTAAAGAGTGTCATAGTGGGATGAACCAACTATCCTAGTGCTCCTCTACTTTCAATGATATAGCAACTGAGATTCCTTTAAGATTAGAATTAATCTTCACCAAAATCACTTATAAATAAGTATTATAGTTTGAACATACGTTTGGTCATCAACTGAAAACGAATTACCGACAAATGAAAACAAAGAGACATTCGACAGCCGCTTTGCATCAGTTTGGTACTCAGAAATATGCACGATGGAAAATCTTCGACACATTTAAATTTTGCAGAGATGATGATTCACATTAGCACATTGTTTCATCTAATTCATTGTGTGAATAGCCACATATTGTTGTCACAAACCTTCACATAAACAGTACGAATCAAAAACCAAACGAACAAAGCTATACCAGTTGAACGAGTTATTTTAACCAGTAAGTGTAGAACTTGAGAATTCATGTAGATATCATCAAATTATCAAGGCGTATATAACTCCGCTGCTTCGAATCAGTAAAATACATTGGACACAGGTTGGACAACGAAGACTAGTTCAGGAGGTATGATGTTATACTCCGGCCATGAAGAAGACAATGCGTCACATACACAAGGAGTTGCACTGATGCT